GGGGGGGGGGGGGGGGGGTGCAGGTCGGCTGTTCAAAGCCAGGCCTGTGCATTGTTGGGCAGTCGGGGATTAGGACTCTACAGGCTGCAGAATTTGCCTTCTAATTAAAAAGGATAAAGAAACTAGGAAAAATAGCGAGAGGCACAAGAGGGAGAGAGGGGGGAAAATGGAGGATAGAAAGAAAAAGAAAAAGAAAGAAAGAAAAAGAAAAGGGGAAAAAACTGTTTGTAGTGTCACTTCTGTGGCCTGTATCAGAAGACCCAGCAACACTGACTGACTTTTAGCCCTTGCATCTCACCCTCACTCCTCCTCTTCCTCCTCCCTCAGCTCCCCCTCTCTCAGCGTGTCACCTTACTCAGACCTGAAGAAAAAAAAAATGCAGCCAAGAAAAACAAGCTGGGGAACGCAGGGCTCCTGTGCGTTTGATGGGGGGGGGGGGGAGATACAGTGGAGCCTTTGTCAGGGGATTTAAGGCCCCTGCCAGAGACACGGCCAAAACAACAACAGTAACTGAACGGCCTCTTATCGCACTCCCCACTATTGTTCCCTTTCCATGGTACTGGATCTTCAGCGCGAGCGAGAGGTATCCTGACTCAGAGAGGTGTGCGTGTGGGGGGGGGGGAGGCGCCTTCACGCACGCACCACGTGAGAATTTCACTGGGTCATCGGAGTGCCTTGTTCCCCGGCACGATTGCGGTTTCCGCGTCGGCTCCGGCTCGCCGCCGTGGGGTCAGCAGTGGCCAGAGCACGCTGGGCAGAGGACGGTTCGGAAAAATAATTAAACGAAAGGAGGGCGCTCGAAATTAAACACGTAGAATTTGCATTTTCAGCAGAAAAGGATTAACTTTAACAACAAGCTATTTGAGATAACACCCCCCAGATTTTTTTTCCCCAAGCATACAATTTTTCTGAGAATAATGTTGACCTCTTTTAAATAGCACTGCGTCCCATTCTATTTATTCCAGATAAGAATATCTCCTTCTGTGGGGTACTGAGTATGCGACATAAAATATTTAATTTATGAACACAACCTCTGTGTGGATAGTTTGTCAGAATAGCAGAAGACAAACTCACCCTGGTTCTTTATGGGCCACTGTAAGCCTGAGACCCCATCCATTCATTTATGTCCATTGTAGTGGACATGTTGTTTTTGCATCTATCTTTTCACTGATGTAAGGAAACATATTTATTCCTGTTGTACACTAAAGAGGACATGCTGGGAAATTTTAAATAAAAATAAATTTGAAAAAATCTAAATTGTAAGATGTCTTATTTCCTCCAAAGACAAATAACCTATAATTGAAGGACACTTTTTTCCTTGGGTCTCAGGAGGATATATGTGGATTGTATTGTGACAAGCAGGTATAAAAAAAATTTGGACGGATGGAAAATACACTGGGACACCCTTTTATTTTAATATAGTAATTGGATACATCAAATTCAAAGACTCAGATAGGCAGTTGGGTGCAGTCCACCAAATCAGAAATCACCAAATCAGTCCCTCTAGAGCTTGATGGGCATCCTAAAAGCCCTGTTATGTCCTTTGTGATTTTACAACACAATACTTTTGGAAACAAGTATTTGTAATTTGTATAGCGGCTACTATGTTCAGTCTATATTGCCAGTAATATGTTTTGCACAATTTCCAAGCATGACATTTGTATAAACATCGTAAGATAAATTTTTGAGACAAATTATCACAAAAAACATTTTAGCCTAAGGATGTTTTTTCTTTCAAAATTCTTTTCATATTTGATAATATTCACAGCATGCATTGCATGTTTTATTGCACACATATGTTACAAAAGGTTTTGTGTTAATGAAAAGCTGACCAGTGGAGGTGTCAATTTACAAGGAAACCCAGGCCCTGCTCTCGCAGCTCCTGAGCACCACAGCGCTCTCTGAATCACACTCACACGGCACTTAGCGCCTCTGCTGTTGAGGGTGTTTACATTCTGAGCTAATTATCTGCAGCTTCGAATGAGCTAATTGCTTCATTAGAAACATGTCAGCCTCTGAATGGCCATTTTGGGATCATGAGTGACAGAGGGAAGCACTTTGAGTGACTGAAGCTAGGACTGTCAATATATGGACATGCAGAAGGTTAATGATAGTAGTTAGTGTTCTTGATATGTAATATGTGTACTGTATATACACAGGGTGACGTTAAGGGACCATAATGCAACATATGCTTAGGGACATACAACACAGCATTGCTACAAGTCCAGAAATGCAAAAGAAAGCTGAATTCTAGTCTGGGAAAAAAAAATACACTATTTTATGACAATTTAAGCTGACATTAAATGGTATTTTGAACAGTATTGCTGAAGTAATATTACCAAGATAATTAAACTATGACATCTGAATTAACGCTTGCTGAATTCAGCAGGGATGCAAACGGCAAACTTCGCATTTACCATGGCCGGACAGCGGCTTTCAGAGAAACGCGTGGATGTGACAACGCAGCAGTGGCTAGGGATTAAGGCCGGTGGGGCTGCGGACCGGCAGGCTGCAACCGCGGGGGCCACTGCATTGGGCCGCATGCCGAGCGATGGGCCGGCGGACGCATATGAATGCCAGGAGGGCCTGCGCACCAGCGGCAGGCTGAAGCAGGACAGCGGGAGGCAGCAGGGATCCCAGTTTGTGTTTTCGTTTGCTCCCCCCGCTCAGTCCCACCTCGCCTCCTCTCACTGGCCAACTCACCAGCCACCAGCTGTTTCATCCCCACACCCCCGCCACCACCTCTGCCCGCGGGGGGGTCCGGCTCACCCCGGGAACCCCAGAAAATGCCGCGGCTTAAGCGCCCCAACAGCCTGGCTTCTCCCCAGAACACTAGGGGGTTAACGACATGCTGGCAGGAACAAGATCGCCCTCCACCCCCGGTCCGCCCCAAGCCCACCCCCTATGCTCAGCCGGCCAGTGACGCAGCAAAGCCTCGCATACCGCCTGCAGACCAGCGCTGCCACACACACACACACACACACACACACACACACACACACACACCTCCTTTTATTTCAGCCAATCTGATCACACTGCTAAGCGTGACAAGCTCAATCTCTGCCGCCTCACTGATCAAGAGCCTCCCAGTCAGAGAGGCCTGGGGATGAGCAGGTACGGACTGAGGCGCACTGAAAGAATCTGCGGCCAGCCAGAGAGGAGATTAAATGCCAGGCCCCGCCGCTGATGTCCCAGGAGGAGTAAGGTGTGGGGGGGGGGGGCAGTGCCCCAGCCAACTTGTCGTCATAGTGGGACCAGCACATTCAGCTGTGTCCCCCCTCCCCTCCCATCTCATCTCAGCCTCCACCTGCCACCTGCCCAATAAAATAAAGGAGGCCCATGTAGTGCCCCGGCGCCTCCTGCCCAAGTCCTCGCCTCCTCTTTTTAAGGAGTGGCTGCGTGTGGCTCCTTTTGGCGCCTGTGTGTCCCTGTTACAGTCCTGGTTGTTTTCCAGGTGGCCAAATTAAAGTGTGTCCCAACTGTGGCAGGAGGTTAGACTCTTGTGTGTTGGGATACCTGATGAGGTCGCTGACATGGGGCATATTCTGGCCTTGAAGGCCTCTCTCTCTCTCTCTCTCTCTCTCTCTCTCCCTCTGTCTCCCTCTCTCCCTTTCTCTCCCTGTCTCCCTCTGTCTCCCTCTCTCTCCCTCTGTCTCTCTCTCTCCCTCTGTCTCCCTCTCTCTCCCTCTGCCTTACCTTACTTACCTATCCAACTACTTTTTTTATGACCATTGACTGGAGCACGTAAAGCAAAATCTTCAGACAATGTTCCTTTGGTACAATGATGAATGGATGTCAAAGCTAAAGGGAATTTAATGCAATTTGAAACGCAACTGAAGTTGCTATTTGAGGAGAACCCCGGCCCACTTCATGGCTAATTGGTGTGACTAAATTATAAAGTAACTTCAACTAATAATTAGAGCATGTTCACATTTTACCAGCCACGCTCACAATTAACCTCCCTCTACTGGCAATTTGCAATTCTGGTAAATCCTGTTATCAGCAAATATACCACATGGCAGTGCAATGCAGTCCTTCTCCAAACACCAGTCGGGGAAATCTGTGCACTGCTAGATGGTCAGGAAAAGGAAAAACAAAACAAATGACCCCTATCTTCTCACAGTAAACATGGCAGCCCTTCACAGTGGCTCCAAGCTAAAGTGGAGTGACTTCAGGCTGACTTCCATGTTGTCACTCAACTACATGCATTTTTGCATGAGCTGAACATGGCTGACCTGCCGTTACCCATCCACCCAACCAACAAGAGGGTACTTCTAGTCATAAGGCTTCAGCAAATCCATATTAATGGGAGATGAAACTGTACAATGTCCAACAGTGAGGTAAAGATGTCATGCACATAAAAGTAGAGGGAATTCTGGGTCAGGAAAAAGGGAAACAGCACAGATAAACACGAAGAACGATGTGCCTCTGTGACGTTGGGTATTCAAACACCTTTTTGACTTGCCTAGGTTTAGTTGCAGTTTCCACGCCATTAGGCTTGAGCGATATGAGGCTATTACAGTACAAACCAGTACTTAGAAATCCCAAAGGTATTTTTTTAATACCATCAAAAATACAGATGCTCCTATTTCTATGAAACTGATACAGAGATGCTATATCGATGTGACAGTGTACAGCATTAACGGTGATTGGAGCCTCACTTGTTTTTTTTTTTGTTTTTGTTTTTTTAAAATAAATGTAAAAAAAAAGATCAAGGAAAGTCGCACTTAGGTAGGTTAATGCTACAACACCAAAATGCACCGGGAATGTGCTGGAGCATGTGTGGCATTTGTGAAAGCGAGCGTGCATGTGGCCACAGATGGGGCAGTGACAGTGATGTCAATAAAAGAAGGGCGACCTTCTTAACTCTTCAGCAAGGAGCTGTCTCTTCCTTTCCATAGCGCTCAGCTCCCAAACTGATGAGCCTGTTTAGGTTCTCTCTGATTCTGGAGTCTACAGTAGCTTACATGATTTACGGCTCTGTTTTTTTTTTTTGTTTATTATAAATATCGTCATGTACCGTATACCAGGAAGAAATGTCTAGAAGTAATGAAGGTATGAAAAACTAGACACCACCGAAGTCTATAGACCATCCTGCTTGGGTCTGGACTGCTGCTCAGCTGCCCCAATCCCCGCATCCAGATCATAGAGATCCTATTCTGGGATGGCAGAAGATTGAGACGGGATGCTGCCGGAGGGGCAGGGCTCCCAGAAAGCCTGTCACCCATCCAGGATCCACAGAGCCTGGCACCGAGCCCGCTTACATTGTGCTCACTCATTCAGGCCTGCTGCTGTTGCCATGGGGACATGTAAACCTGCATGGCCCCTGGAGGAAGGGAGGTCTGGCGAAGGGGCGGGGGGTGCCAGGGCCCCAGGGGGCTGGGGCTGGGGGGGGAGCTACAGCATCAGGGGGTTATCTTCCACTGCAGACACCACCAGGCCCCATGCAGGGGTCTGAGCCTAGGAAGGAGAAGCTGGGGCGTCTCACCTCCCGTTACCCAGAATCCTAATAGAGGAGCTTCAAAGGGAACACGCTGACTGCACAAAGCGCCTTTCCAAACCACAGTTGTTTTTTTTTGTTTAGCTTTTTTTTTTTAATCGCAGGTTTCATTCTGGGAAAGAGGTGAGACCTCCCCTATCTAAGCCTGTTTCCACTGGTGACCCATCCCTAGGCACAGCCCTGACCTTCCTGATTGTTCCAGGCTGCAAGACAGCAATGTGGGGCTCCAGCCTGTCCACCAGGAGCCCCCCCCCCCCCAGCCCAGAGGCAGAGCCAGCAGGGGCAAGCTGAGCCCGACTGGAGCCCGGCCCAACGTGGTGATGGCCTGTCTGCCCAAGCACTGCACCACACACACACACACACACACACACACTCATGGGTCACTCCTACGCCGGCGCCCTGGCACATGGATTTCAAAGGGATGCGCAGCTTGTCAGAGCCCGGCCTCCCCCCCCCCTTCCCTCCCGACCGCGCGTCCCACCGGCGGCCTCTCTGCTCCAGCACTGGGCCCAGGCTGTCACGCTGCGCAATTCCCACCAGCGCCGCCTCGCTCGGGGCCCGGGAGGAGGGGGCGGGACGCGGCCCTGACACATTCGACCCATCTGCGCCTGTGTCTCGCCATGCTGAGAAAGTATCACCACTCGGTGACTCCGTGGGGCCACCGTCATTATGCTGTCACGGGGGGCTTCGTTCTTGGCTGCACCCGGCCGCCGTCACATGCCTCCCCTCCATAACGACGCGGACATGGAGAGCGACAGCTAAAGCGTGGCGCCTGAACATGCTCGGAACACGCTTCCAGATAATGGTGAACATGGCGCCTGAGTGGGTGGGAGTCTCCATGTGGCTGGGCCCCGCCATCGCCATGGTGAAACGCAGAGGTGATGCGCGTTCTTACCGGCTGATAGAATGGCCAGCCGCTCCCCTCGATCCCATGACCGCCCGCATCACATAGGCGCCCTGTTTGCCAGGTAGCGCCCACAGAGCGGAACGACGGCAGGCTGTGTTTTAATTGGGCAGTCCCCACCCCCGCCCCAACCTTACCCCACCCTGTGCCCCCACCCCCACATGATCCCCCTCCCCCCTTCATCGCCCCTTGCATGGCATTTCCCTGGCAGTCCAGCAAATTCCTGCCCCTCCCAGGCTCCACATTCCCGCGGCCGGCCTCCCCGCCTCGAGCCCAAGTGCGGCGGGCCCCAGTCTGCGGCTCCAGCCGGCACCACATTCCAGTGCGCGCTGCCCCGTCCCCACGGCAACCAGGGGAGAGAGGAGAGAGGTGAGGGGAGATGGGGGAGGACGAGGGAAGGCAGAGGGAGGGATAACGCTGTCGCCAAGGGTAGCGAGGGGCACAACCGGTGCCAAGAGGGACAACGGGAATTCAGTAATATAATTTTTAGAGATAATGGAAAGGGGAGGGGCAACTGGGGGAGGGGGCAGGCTTGGATTAAGAGTGAAGATGTGAGAGCACTCTGACAGAACACCTGGCAAAAGACTCAGCACCCGCACTCACAGCCAGTGTCTCATATCCCTCAACCGGTGCCATGAAGTCGGGTGACAGAAGCCCATTAGCACAGCACACTGGACAGGTGTCATGGCAGAGTCGTCAGAGATGCTTACATCCAGCAGGTTACGCGGAGGTCACTAAAAGTGCCCGTTTCCTTCACCGATTTAAACCGGTGCACTGGCAGTGCTGACCTCGCTAAAAATACCTTCTGTAGTGATTAGACTCCCTGTAAATGCTTTCAAGTTTAAACAAAGGAAACATGTCACTATAGCAATCAACAAAACAAAGAAATAGTCCCTCACACAGTATTATGTAACACACGCACTGTTATTGATAGTAAACGGCCATGAACACGCCATGCCGTTTCTACATACACAACACTGTGATAATAGTCTAGATTAAATTATATCTGGGCACCTGACGTCTCTGTCATGGACTCCACAGAGTTCCTCTCTCTCCCCCCTAAAGATATATTAAACTTGGCAGACACTCAATCATGCGAGCCGCGTAAATAGAGATGGAGCGCTCGACATACCAGGAGAGCGGACTGATGTCTCTCTCTTTCTCTCTGTTTAATTTTGTGTTCTTACCCCGATCGCCGCAGTTCACAGCTCCAGTAGCACCAGGAGCCGATCGCCGTCCCCCCGTTCGTCCCCACCTCCCCACCCCCGCGAGCGGTCCGTGTTTACTCTCCTAATTGCCGGGGAGGGGCTGCTTGACGGACAGGTTTGGGGGATTCCCAGCCGTGTTCCTCCGTCGGCCCGGGGCTGGGAACCGTGGGCATACGGACGCTGTCTCCCGACGAGATGGGAACATCCAAAAGTCGCGGGGGAGCCAATACTGGCAAAACGTCGGGCAGAAAAAAAATGAAATTAAAGAATTGAGAGGAATTGGCAATGTCACGACTGATGGGGGCTGCGTTTGAAAAGCCGACGCGGGGAGCTGGGGGCACCGCCAAAGTGTCAGTCACGGGAGCGGGCTTTGGATGGGGAACAAGCTCTGACAGACTCACAGGAGAGCTCAATTTCTCTCATCGCTCCCACTTCACCAGCATATCATCCACATCCGGCAAATGTTAAAATGTTGCTTTAAAAAAAAACAACTACAAAAGTAATTACTTTATTGTACTTAAACGCGTCGAGTGTTTTTGCCGGGCCCGCCGCTGCCGTAACGCGTTACAATTTTCGTGAAGTGCGAAAGGTTTTCCTCAAAAACGGACGGAAAGCCTGAAAGAAAGAGCTGAAAAAATAAAGAATTACCCGAATTTATGTTAATCAGTTTCTCAAAATTATTTAGGCCTATATCTAGCAAATCCCTGAAACGTTCACCGCGCTCGAGAGCGAAGACAAGAAATAGTACGAGAAAACATGAAGGGTCACAGCTGCGCAAACTGCGCCATTTCTAAAGTTATTATGGGGATTATACACAAAGTCATACAATGTAGCGTTTTCAAAGGTGTTATGAATGCTTCCCGGAATCCAATTCAAATCAGGCGTTACCTAATAAGCCTGAACAAATCCTCCGCAGCGAGTCTCCTGCCTTTGAACTCGCTGCCTGAGAGCGGCCGGTCTGCAGGGCAGGTTTTGCTGCAGCGGGGGAAACACCTCAGCGGCTCGGGCAGCGCGTGCCCCTCCGGCCTCGAGCTCCGGGGAAAAGTCCGCTCGCGCGTGCTTAATGCCCAGGGATCCGCCGATAAAGCGCCGCAAACGCGTGAGTTTGAGAGGACGCGCCGGCGCCTCCGGAAAAATCACTATAGGGATGCATTCGTGTAGACCGGCTGCCGTTCCGTCTCGGTTACTTTATTTTGTTGATAAACAACTTCGGGAGGCGATATTCGTACTATACATTTCAAATGAAACAGTTAAGTGCATCACTGATGACCCTTATAAATGTTTCTATTACCAGCAGGCCTATACTAACAAGATTCCTAAGATTAAAATAATACATTACGCCTATAGAGATGAAAAATAATTTAATATTTCTGCCAGCGGTCTTTCGGTTCCCTAAATAGGCTAACACCACGTTGCTCTTAACACGATGATTCTGGCAATAATCACACTGAAGAATTTTTTTGTTTGAATACATGTTTATTTCTGCTGTGGTTTTACAGTTTGAGCAGTTATGTAAACCAGACTGGTTTATTCATTCTATTTGTGTGTGCATGTATACACACAAACAGAATAGACACACACAGAAATTAAATCACAGTGCAACTTTTTAAAATAAAAATATCAAAACACATTTTGTGTGCAAAAAGAAATAAAATAAAGAAGTTGCAGAGGTGAAACAGGAGGCTGTGTACTCTTGGTCTTGGTCTCTTGGTCTCCGTTTACCTTGTGGCGCAGCAGGCCTGCGCTCTCATCAGTGTGGATTGAGCTTGCCCATTTATAGAACACTTGTTTGGAGAGGGTGGTGCTTTGAGCGGCTGTGTGACAATGGGCAACACTTCACCTGATGTTCAAGGCAAGCCACTTTATCTATGTACCACTGTTGGGGAGTGCCTTTTCTTATAGTGTAGGGGAGTTATCTGCCCTTTCTTTGTCCTCAGGAGAAAACAAGCGGAGGCCCAAGCGCTGCTCATGTCAGACCGGAACCACACTCTCACCCTGATCAGCGAAACAAGACCAGAACCAAGGTTATGAACGACGGCTGTGTCGACCATGCCTGGAACGGGTGTTGTTTCGGCCATGTTGAAATTCACCTTGAGGTTCCAGATGCCCCGCGGCTCCCGTTTGCGTTGCCCCTCCTCGCCAGATTCGTGCAGGCTGAGCTCGCCTTCGTGTATTGATATTTGGAATCAGGAGATACTTAATTGAATCCATTTGTTTGTGGTAGAGCCCCTGTGCAAACACAAGACAAATAATTACAATGCTGATTAATAAGCATAACACATTAACGGCAGGAAATAAATCCATAGCACGAGCACAGAGGAGCTGGAACCTTCCGCCATTTCTGTCGACTTCAGTTGTTGATTGTCACACGCATAAGTCCCCGACATCCAGGTCAGGTGTGTTTAGAAAGGGCATAAGAGAAAAGGAGATTAACTGCCTTATCCTTTCTTTTTTGGAGTTTCATATGAGAGGAGACTGATTAAGCAGTGTGAGAAAGATGGTGGTGTTTTAGGGAGGGAAAAACAACCAAGCGTGCTCCTCTTCTGCATGCATCAGCTTCTACTCCCTGGTACCTGCGGATGTGCTTTAGGTCTGTGTCATGAAGTTGATGCAAGTATCATATACATGTTTGTCATTGATCACCTTAGACAACTGAGATGAATGCAAGAGACTACAGAATCCTTGACAGGGGAACGGACAGTGTCAGCACTAACTGTCAAAGCATACTGAACACATGTTTATCACCGTTGGTTTCCTTAGCATTTAAATTTCTGTTTCCAGTTTAAGCATCAACTTTATAGGTGAAAATCAGGTTCAGCACCCCAGGGCAGAAAATTATCCATACTCTAGTAGTGCAACTCTGTATTCTGCCTTTCCGGACATTTCTACGCTGCTAGCCAAAGGGACACTTCCTCATATTAATTATTAATTTCTTCACTTATTAATCACAGGATTGTTGATTATCTGACCATGATTCTGATTTTTCGTAATCCTGCACTCAAAGCAAGATGCCGGCATGCATGCAGTTCCCATGATGCTCTGGGAGCAGTTAGATTCTGTGTTATCGCCCATGTCTACAGAGGATGCCTCAGTCCAGCACAACTTACCTGCTGGGGGTAGAAAATGGAAGAAATTTAGACATGATAAATGAAATAATGCAATGTTAACTATTTCAGCTATGATTGATGTTTAATTGACTAGGCGATTTAGAATTATTCATATTTAACAGCTAACAAGTGTTGCAGATGACACTTTCTAATCACCGAATGCAGTGTTTGACTCAGTTGACTTGTTTAGATGGCCATTACATATATGAGCCAAAAGACAGAGAACAGAATGATAAGATCAACTCATGAACATATGAAGGTTTCATAATGAAAGTAATTGTAGTTACAGAAGACACTGATGACTGTTCAGCCGTTTCTTCCAATAGCTGAAAAGCGACCAGCAGAGCTGACATGTCAAAACAAGGAGCCGCTTTCCACCTTTTCACTTTTCTGTGATTGTGTGCTCAAACTCTGAAGCGTGGAAGCGCTCCGTATGCGCGATGGCTGAAACACACTGCGTTTCAAATGAGTGCTTTTCAGAGAGACTGCAGCAGTATCTTCCTAATACACACGTCCCATTCACAGCTCTTGCAGAGCAACCGTCATATTCCAGATTCAGATGTAAGGTGTGTGATGTGGCTGATGAGCTGAAGATGATTCTGTCTGTTTCTATTGAATAATCTACACAGAGCCTGTGAAACACGTGGGGAAAAGGGTCAACTAAATATTAATGGAAAACCTTGTGACCTTTTTTTTTGCAAATTACTTCATACTAGAAAACGAAGGACCAGTTCCCTCCCCCTCTCCACCACCATGGTTTTCATTATGGAAATTACATAATAATCTGTGGACTTTAAAGGCAATGTACTAGCCCTGTGTCAAGGGTAAAATCATTTGTCTACATTGCTAATCACTTGAATGAAAGTTCTTTGTCATCCGAGGCCCTTTTGATTTTAACGTAATTCTGATTAATCTAGAAGATTATTTCACATCACATCCTAAATGACCTCCCGCAATAGGAATAATTTTCAATTTTAATGCCTTCCCCACTTCCATCAGAATGCTTTTCTATTGATTGCTTTTCGAAAGATATCTAGGGACACATGAATTAAGTTTTTTGTACACAACATCAGTTTTGGTGGTTTATTTTTTATTCTTTTGTTTTAAAATAAAAATTGTTAGATTGTGCTAATGTTTGCCAATTATGACATTTCAAAATGAATGTATTTTGACAGAAACTCCTTTTAGACAGACTTGCTGTCATTAAAATTGGGATTAGAATGGAGTAGGCTATATATTTGCATGCTCTTTTAACTGTAATGAGACGAAATGTAGTATTAATTAATATTTTACATTTAAGTAGTCTATGCAAAGTATGCAATCAAAAGAGCATGATATATCCAACGCAAGTTAATTATGTACATGTGCGAATATAGGTGGATCAAAAAACTTTAATTACATCCCTATGTCAGCCACAATATGGCATTTCTTTTCTCTTTCTTTGCTGAAATTACATGCCATTGTGCAGTGCATTACAGCAGAGCACATACAATGGCATATTTGAACACGTTTGCAACTAAAACAAGTTTATCCTTAGGAAACTGATGTCAACTGTCATACTTTGTAAAGTAACCAGTACTTGGAAAATCCACTCAAATATAGGATATCAATAGTAATAATAATAATAACAATAATAATAATAATAATAATATTTCCTATGCTCAAACTATTTTATAAACTTAAGCGTATGATAAATTTTGTATTATCTAGTTAAAGTATTACCAGGAGCGATTATAATGAAATTATGTAAAATGTTATACAAACTATTCTTTTCACAGCATGTGTCAATGGACACAGTAGCACAATGTAAGCATTTTAGGGTCGGGGATGCTGTACTTTTTGAGGGTTGGGCCAGAGCACCCCTCTGTCGGCTTACGTATCAGTTCGGCAAAACGTAGAAATTATTATTCAAAACACTTTTTCCTCTATCGAAAAGTTTCCATAAATAAATATATTGTTTAAGATTGATACAATGATCAAACGTTAATATATAGCATTTGTTAATATTCTAAATTTGTTTTATAATAACGTATTATTATGTGTCCAAACAAAGTAACAAATTAATTTCTAAACGTTTAGAATGTTATCATAAAGATGTTGTTGTCAAGCTCGATTTCAAAACTGAAACCCTAAATCATTTTTGCCATAACGGGCTACGCCATTGTTTGATATTGTCGATATCAATCGCTAAAGATGTATTCGACGATGGTCTTTTCTCTCTATTGATGGTATAACTCTGTAGTATTGCACAAAAAGTAAAGCATAATAAGAAAAAAGATACGCAAAACATACCAAAATTACATTTCCTCCAAGTATGCGGGCATAACCATCTGAAATTTGGAGTAACTTGAAAAAGTAAAAAATGTCGAGGTGGGATTCGAATCCCACGACTCTTAACCCTCAGGTTCGCTTTCCAGAGGCGGAGATAAATCACGACTTCCCCAATTAGCCGGCAGGCAGTGGGAGCTCTGATTGCCACAGGCGTTAACATGAGGAGCGCGATTTCCTTCTACAGTCGTCCCTCTTTTTATGTTGAAATTCCCTCAGGCGATGTGGTATTTAGAAATGAATAATTTATCAATTTAAACCGAAAGCGCTTGCGAAATGAGTAAACGTGTCGACTGGGGTAGGATGTTGTATTCAATACGATGTTCTTTTAGCACTATTAAGAAAACTGCTACCAAATTAATCTGATTAATACGATCATTTTCATAAATTCATAACAACTATACATTTTTAAATGCATGTTCCATACACTTCATTTTATTTTGAGTTTATCATAATAATAATAATAATAATAATAAAAGTAGAATGTTACGATAGTGAAATGTATTTATTCGATAACCTGGTAATTAAATGTCCTTCAATGTACGATTTGATACTACTTTCAAACTCTGTTTTATTTTATTTAGTCCGTTAACTGTGTGTGTGTGTGTGTGGTTTTTTTTTTTTGTTTGTTTTTGTTTTGAGATTAATACAACTTTTGTGTGAGGATTTCGTAGACGCTCCTGAAACGGAGCGACCGGACTGTGAAAAGAGCACCAAGAACAATTAGCTTGTTAGCTAATCCTCAACAAAACGCGGCCTTTTCCCCGCACATAGAAAACTGCGGACATAGGGGGAGGGGTTGATGGTTTGGGGGTCAGAAGGAATGACAGGATGGAAACACGGAAAAAAAATAATTGAGAGCAAAAGGTATATTAAACCGCATGCGTAAATGCCAAAGATTTAACTTTTCGCTGAAAGAGAAACATTTAAATTCAATGAAATAACCATTTAAAAAATAATGATAATAAACTTTTGGACGATTTTCAATAGTGGATCCTGGACAAAAAGAATTCTAAAACTGCTGACATATAGAAATAAACGACTTACAGAACAGACGACAGATTATTTTATTTAACATTAATTTCATACCCGTCGTCTTCAGCCGCATTCCATCGCCTCTGAGCGTGTGACATGTCAGCCTGTAGATTGTAGCCATCAAGACCCATCAATTCCGAGCCCCAGTCTGACAAACTGTTCTCGTTGAGGCGACATGCGTCCTGTGAGAGAATTTTTTCAGCATCCTGAACATTGTGAGAACTGCGTAGGTTTTCTCGCGAACAAATTCTGTCAACGGAGAGGGAAAGTTTGGCACCTTGGTCCATTAACAGCATTTTGCTAGTAAACTATAGTTGATGTAATAATAACAGACATAATGACTGATGAAAATAGTAAAAACCGACTGACCCATCGCAGAGCTGAAAATGGATGGATTTCCAGCGGGATGCAACCGGAGTTTGATTGAAGCTGCTGTTTCTGGCTTTGGGTTTAAAACCTAAATCTATATTCAAATCTGTCTGAGGTGTGTATGTCTGAGTGAGAGAGAGAGAGGGGGAGAGGGAAATGGGAGGCAGAGAGTGAGAAAGCAAGTGTCTGCGTGTGTATGTGTGTGTGTGTGCGTGTGTGTGTGTGTGTGTGTGAAGCAGAAGAGAGAGAGCAGGGTTATGTGATGTGTGTGTGGGTGTGTGTCTGGTTTTCTCAAAGCTTCTTAACAGGGTACATTTACCAAACCGTGACAAAATCCAAGGTGTATCGTTGTTTTGGTATAAATGCTTTGAGGTTTATATAGAATTGAAGCTTAAGTTTGTGCACATGTAACAATATGTACTATGAAAATAACTGACAGACATGAGCTTGTATTCTAGACATTAGATAATAATAATAATAATAATAATAATAATAATAATAATGTTGCAACTTAAACGGAATATTTTGGTTTTCCCACGCTTTAGTTTGCAACAAATGGGTAGTCTCTCAAACTTAAAATTACTTTAAAAACTACTTGCAGTAAATAACTTCAAATTCACTTTATGTGGATTCTTACGTTGATTGTTCGTGAAATAAGGCGGTTCAGAACATCACGCTTATTATTATTATTTTTATTATTATTATTAGTTGTTGTTGTTGTAGTGGTGGTAGTATAGTTGTAGTGGTCTGTAGTACTGATCACTGATTTAGAAAATGTTATCCTGGGTAATCATCCACACGCGCCATCTGTGTGCGCATCTACACAGATAAGTAGGCAGATAGCCTGATACGCAGATAGACAGACAAACAGAAACGCCACGCAAATGTGCAGTTTGCGCCTACCATTTTATACCCGTGGTTTGTTTTTAATCCACTACAAAGACATGACAACCGCGTGAAATAGGGTTTCCTGTTTCATCCTAGCAAAATCCTTGATTAAAAAAAATCAAATGGTTGGTTTACGAGAATCTCCAAAAAATGACTTCCGACTGGAAATTATTTACACTAATCTTTTAATGCAAGGTGAACATGAAAACAGACACATTTTGCTTGAGGACAGCTACTTCAGTAAACTTCACTTTATGTCTTACCGAGTCATTTGTTAATGTTGTAGCCTATAACAGGTTAATTAGTTATGAAGACTCATACGTCTGACACTGACAGAATCATAACACTAAATAAGTATCTAAGCTATATGATTTTGTACGGATATTTATTTGTTTGTTTATAATACAATACACATATCTATTGAAATTCTGGTATATCTGCTGCCCCTATCGGACTCTACCGGAGACTTGACTGAGTGGCAGATTCGTACCCCCTTCCCAGTCTGGCTTTACTCGCTGTTTTATCATCATTTTCGCCGGACTCGAAGCTGGGCACGTTGTCAATCACTCCCTCGCTGCCATTGGCTGGGGAGTTTGCGTCAAAAAGTTGCTAGCGAGATTTGTTTCACAGCAAACCTCCCCGAGAGAGAAACAGACCTCATCTCTGTGGTTCACAGTCCCTCTCATTGGTTAGCACAGCCTCTTCAAACCAACTCAGCTACTCAACCGAGGAGATCAATAAATCATAACGGTAAGTGGTTTAGCAATTCCACTGATTACAGACATTGGTTCGTTTTTCAGGGAAAATGTTTAGTTTAAAAACCCATCGGCAATTTTAACGTTTTTAATATCTGTTTCGCAGATTTTCGCTCGTCGAGTAGCCTACAGAGTGAAAAACAAAAATACTGCTACGTTCGGATCTGCTGTAATAGGTAAGTCTGAACTACTTCAGTGTTCTTAATGTACGGCGTTTTGTTTATTTTGATTTTTTAATTAGTATTTTCTTACTGTTTGTATATTATTGTTGTACAGTCACATCGCATATGCTAACGGGCTGCTTCGCCACCACTTACATAGCCTACAAATGGACATCAGTTAATTAAAAAAAAAAACTTAACAGAACGAAGCTGACATTGCCACTTAAAAGAATGAGATACTCGTTGACTTATTTATGAAATCGTTGAGCATTAAAAACACTTTTATTCGGCTTAAGAGAAATACGGAATAAGTCACATAGAAAGAAGAAAAATGATACCTATTACTTTCAAATGAGCCAACGTGCGTATTGCATCGTCTGTTTCTATCACCTGCTTTTTAAAAAAATCGGCTTTATTTCGAATGTTTTTGCCAGTGCAGTGATATACTAGTTTGGTATAGATCCAATCTAGCCAATTCAACTGTGCCCTTCTAACTTTGATAGTGCATTTTATAATTTCATATTTTATAGCTCTGTAAACTAGTTCGGGACATTCTCCTGTCCTATTTCACTCTGAATTCCACTGAATGTCCTCACTTGTAATGGAAATTGAGACAGACAAAGAGCGATAATTGAGGAGGCGTGTATTGGAGTCTTTCTCCCAAGAAACTATGCCCCCCCCTCCTTTCTAGTCTATAGCCCTGCTTCTCCCCTCTTCGTCCGAGCGCGGGCAGCTCCATTGGCGGGTGGGCCAACATTAGGGCGCGTGAGGGTTGCATGTATGTTAAACTGCCGTTTATTACTCACATTGCGATAACCGCGAACAATTTTTATTGGTATACATTATGACTCTAAAAGTTATTGTAGATGAAGAGTAATATATTACATTGCGGCCAGTAGATTGGTAGTAGGTGGCGCGAAGGCCGGACAATCAAATGCGCAGGATATTTCAAATAATTTGTTATATGTCCAGATCTCTCTCTCTTCAGCCATTATAGTTTCTATATTTTTGCATCCGGTATGTTTTAAACAAATTTCTAAAGCAGTTTTCTGTACATTTTAACAGCTTCAGAAAGCCTGAAACTATTAATGCTGCTATAAACAAATTAACTGATTAAAATTTGTGGTTAAAGAAGCCCAAACATTTCACTTTATTATTTTGCGAAAAGTACATATGTACAAACAAATATAGGCATACATGTGAAATCAAAATATTATTTATATTCATGTTATTTTTATTCGGCTATATGTATACTTATCACCACATTTTAAATGTAACATATTAAAATGAGGTATATTAACCAAATTACGTTTCTTCATGAAGCAAACGAAAGGGTTTGTTAGGCAATTGTATTTGATGAAATTACTATTTAGTAAAACACATTCTTTCTGCTGAATAAATAATTAAATGCACTAATGAGTTACATATTTTCATAAATAATAATTGTGTATTAAATATATGTATATAGAAAACAGACTTTCGAGAAATTATTTATATTTTTTTAAATCGGAGAAGTGAATGTAGAGGCTCACAAGACCATGCGTTGGATTTGATAAACAGAATGCTACTCCATTTCTTTTTGTTTCGTTTTTGTCAAGCAGAAAATTAATCACCCCAAATGCGGTGCGACTCGAGGTTAGCGTCCTGTAATTAGGGAGCGCGTGCCACCCGGATTATCTCGTTAATTTATCAAGAAAAACATTTATTATAATTAATTCTTGGACAGGGTAATCATTACTGGGCGACTGGGAGCAACTGGTAGATGAGGTCTGTGCATAAAAAAAGTGACAGATTGAGCCGAGAAGCCGTTAGATATAAAAACTGTCACTGGTCTCATACACTCACAAGATTGTCCGAGAGGGAAATTACAAACTTCATCAGTTGAAACGCAGGTAAAGATCGTTACTCAATGAGAACATTTTGAAGAAAATATTACCGGGTCAAGGCTAAAGATATATTAGGCCTCTATAAAAGGAATGCCAAGATCGGTTTTCTGGTCTAAACACAACATTAAATGAGCCGAAAAACAACTGGCATTTTTATATTTTATTTATTACGTTCATGTTTTAATACATTGAGATTTTATCAGGGACCTAATACTGCGACTGCATCTTTGGCGGAATTGTCAGATTTTCTTTCATTATAACTTAATATCGTGAATGAGCCCACTATATAACTTTAAAACGATAAAGTTTTTAAAAAGCGATACTTTTGCAATGCATGCGTTTTTCTTTGTTTTTTTTTTATTTATGGACTGCAATAAACTAGTGCGGGTGAGCCAAATTATTCGACTTACATTCTATGATTTTTTTTTCTCTTGAGAGAATTGTAGGACAATTTATTGGGCATCCTATCTAATGTATATTTCTTAGTTAATTATTTTATTGTTATTTTGAATTTCCCTACCAACATATCAGTTTCTCGCAAGGTGCGGTTACTAAGTAGTAGGCCTATGAGTAATTCTTTAAATCTTTGGTTTGGCCTAATATGTAATGTTTATCATTTGAATTTGCTGTGTAGGATAATTTTGTATTTATTATACAGAATTGTATTAATCCAAATGCCGTTTACCTTTACAATTATCCTACTACTACAAAGATGTGTTTGCCTTTGACAGATTTTAATTTGAAGTTTGTTTTAACGCCTTAAATGAGTTGAGAATTGTTTTGACAGCAGTAAGGGGGATGACTTCTAAATTGGAAGTTGATTGTGCTTTTTCCGTGTCTCCTTAGCACATATACTAAACATGCTTCGGCGGCCTATTAAACTTCATTGTATCTTCAGAATCAAATTACCGCGGGCAAATTAATTAGGTGGAAACAGCCGAGAGATGAAGTGAGCGTTTAACGTCGACTTAACTTATGAGAGTTTCTCTACATTTATAGCTATTTTCTGTAGAACTGTTCATATTTTAATGACGCCTCTTTTAAATTTACAGTGATTTCCATTATGTAGACAAAGCCTGTAGATATAATTAGAATGAAGATACTGTGCTAGTTTAATGGCTACAAAATGGGTACCTATGAGTTTACTGCATTGTTTCTTTGTTTCTCGCCAACGGGGCTTCTGTTATCTGCATTATTTATCTGGCCAACAGTGGCCTTTGTCTCTGCAAATGGCCTCCAATCAATCCCTCTATGCTGGAGACAATTAGCCGGCCCGAACCTGTGGGTCCTATGCAAATTGTGGTCCTTGTTGCGACCCAATGTGTGCGCATTTGAACGACTGTGTTTTGTTCTCCGAGAAGGCGTGTTGCAATTATGGGATGTAGCTTTTTTGGGAGGAGGGGGGGGTGGCGTTTGTCAGGATGAGCATCACTCAGTTCACGAAGACAGCTGGGGGTCCGGAGCTGGTTTAAGAGCACAGTACCAGTAGAACAACGCTCATTTTTAACTTAGCCACTGCTGCTATCGGAGCGTTGTGCCCTTCAAGCAAATCTGAAAAAAGCTGTACTACAATTCACTCACAAATAATTTCTCTTTTTTTATAGTTTCTGGATCAGGTATAACTGTCCACAAAAGCAGGAACGAAGGAAAAATCGACAGGGGACGACGAGAGGCCTTGTGTTTACTTTTCAAAATTTTCGCCAACTTTGCCCTCCAACCTAACTTTAGCATGATGTCGTATCTTAAGCAACCACCTTACACAGTCAATGGACTGAGCCTAAGTACCTCCGGAATGGATCTGCTTCACCCGTCTGTTGGATACCCAGGTATGTGCTTTTCCCGAGTTTATATGTTTTCATTGAAAACAACAAGTTAATCGGTATTATGCTTATTTGAACAAACATTCGCCCGAGTATAAACTTTCTACTGTGTAATGTAGCCTATATTTTATTCTAGTAAAGTCATAAATACTGCAAAAGGTTAAGTTGCCTATCTGTACAATTTTGCATAATTGTAAATATACATTTTACAAATTAGTCATTTTGCATAATTGTTTACGTGATTTGTTTCGTCATACGATGCATTAGATTTCACCCTCCGTTTGCGGTACATCTGATGTTATTCATTAGCATTTAATGATTATTCAGCAAGAACAGTGCCACATCATTTTGTAATATTTAGAAGTAGCATGTCGTTGCTGGACTTTTGTAAATTAATATCGATTATAACTGATAATTTAAATCCACGGCGAGAAATATTTCATGCATGTGTGCATATTATTATATGCTGGAATATTTTCTGGCAATGACATATAATTTTATATAATCCTCTGTGATTTCCCTGGTACTTGTAATAATGTATAGATGTTATTTTTCATTTCATATATGATTATTTTATTTTAAAAAAATCTTCCACAGCAACGCCTCGGAAGCAAAGACGGGAGCGGACTACTTTCACCCGCGCTCAGCTCGACGTCTTAGAGGCTCTTTTCGCCAAAACTCGTTACCCTGACATATTCATGCGCGAGGAGGTGGCCTTGAAGATCAACTTACCGGAGTCCCGCGTACAGGTGTGTAAGCGTATAGAATAACCCTGGAAGCATATTGCTGTAACCACCTTCCATTTTAAGCCTCACATCCCACGCAATTTAGTTAAGTTCTTGCTTCCTTTCAATGTTTTCATAAGAAAGCTCTTTAATCGGAGCAAGCTTTCCCAAAATTCAAGGGCCAGAGAATGTAATCTTGGGGAGTTTTTAAAACGAACTATAAGACATAAGACAATTATTTCGGACATTTCAAGTGCTGCCAGTAAATCCATTCGTTTAGAGAGGGCAATTAAATCAATTTTGTTTAATTTTGAGTGAAATTGTAACAGTTAAACTATCGTAATTAGCACTGGCATTAACGTTTTAGAATGCGCAATATTAATTAATAAAAGTAAACATATGTATTTTCATATCCTGATTCTGGATAATTGATGTATGAAAAGTAATTTAAAGGTTTGAGTAAAGCTGTTACCGTTTCCGTTTGCTTTTAAGTAGGCCTGGTTTATATTCTCCTCATTTTACATTTTAAATTCAATGTATTATTTGCTTTTTGACTGGTATATATTTATCTATAACCAATATTTAATAATTAAAAGGACGTTTATGAAATACTTGCGTCCAGTTACCTAATTTATTTAGTTAATTACTTCGTTTAGGCAGCTGCTTGGTAAACGGTTTCGCTTTTTTATTTTCACTGGCGCTGGTTGATTCACCGATTTAAATGTCTAATTCTCTTGTAGGTCTGGTTTAAGAACCGAAGGGCGAAGTGCCGCCAGCAGCAACAACAGCAGCAGAACGGCGGCCAGAATAAAGTTCGACCGGCCAAGAAGAAAAGTTCCCCAGCCAGAGAAGCGAGCTCAGAGAGCGGGGCGAGCGGCCAGTTCACACCTCCTTCCAGTACCTCAGTCCCAACCATTTCCACCAGTAGCGCGCCGGTGTCGATCTGGAGTCCGGCTTCAATTTCTCCCCTATCTGATCCTCTCTCTACCTCTTCCTCCTGCATGCAAAGATCATATCCGATGACTTACACGCAGGCATCAGGATACAGCCAGGGCTACGCTGGATCTACTTCTTATTTCAGCGGGATGGACTGCGGTTCTTATCTCACTCCGATGCATCACCAGCTCTCTGGGCCCGGCTCTACCCTTAGTCCAATGAATACTAACGCAGTCACAAGTCACCTCAACCAGTCTCCCGCATCCCTCTCCACCCAGGGCTACGGAGCCTCGGGTTTGGGGTTCAACTCCACTGCGGATTGCTTGGATTATAAAGACCAAGCGGCTTCCTGGAAGCTGAACTTCAATGCTGATTGCTTGGATTATAAAGACCAGACCTCGTCATGGAAATTCCAAGTTTTGTGAGACGAACAATCATAAGCGATTAATAATAACAGATGAAAACGATAACAAAGTAAACATGTAGTCCTGCCGTCATTCAACCAGTATGTGCATAAAGACTGAACATTCCGAGTTAGTCAGGTATGGGATGCAAAAATCTGTCGCCCCCAGTAGCCCGCAAAATCGTTACCCTTATTTAAGGTGAGAAATTTAAGAACATTCAAACATTTCCCCAGCACATTTTTTCATTAACCTCGCGGGGCACAAACATGCAGCCTCATCGTTTTTCTGTGTGTGTCTGGGTGCGTATCTGTCTGTCCGCTTACGGCACCTGTTGGTTAATTTAAGGAAAACTTGGAGTGAACTCTTAGTAACTTTGATCAATGCCACGGAACAAATCGTTATCCAACAGGAAAAAAATGATCAAGAAGAGCCAATCCTTGGTTAAGTGCTTGGAATGGGCAGGCATTCCTTAAGCTTCTTAAAGACTGCCGAGCCACTTCCTGGTTGGAAAGCAGAGGGACCGTTTGATCAGGACGGTGTGTGGACTGCGCGCCCCCGAGGCGACCTGGATGCACTACTTTATTTAAGAAAAAATGTTTATAAGGAATCAATATGTAGTTTTTAAGAGACAATCAGTGTGTGTCTTATATAAATGGTACATATGTGTTTTTTATCTGTGCTAGCCTTCGAAACTGTGATCTGTTGTATTGTATGCAATTCGTGAGCTTCTTCGCATCCGCGGGGACTCTGCTGTGATTTTAATAGGTTTATAACTTTTTTGAACGGAAAAGTATTAATATTGATTTAAAAAACAAGGCTGCCCAAACCCCAAGAGTGTCGGTGCTTGGAAGAAGACGTTTGACTGCTAAAAAGCCTTTATGTACTTGCACCGCCTCACTTCTTTGATAACACACTGATCGCATATCATGGACCTTAACGTGGCTCAGATGGTATAGTGTGGTTCGCCAGTGAACAGAAACAGTGGACACAAATAAAGGTCGTTTGATCTGACCCTTCAAAAATGACTATTTAATTCCAGCTGGATTTTTGTGTGTGTGTTTGGCAATGTTGATAGAATATTATATATAAGTATATATGCATAAACACCATCATTGGACTTCGCACCTGTATGCATTAAAGTCGTTCTAGCACAATCCCCTTGTCTTCCGCTGTTCCTGAACCTAGCCTGAAGCATTCGAATAAAGTCTCCAACTGGAAATAACTATACACAAACACCTGGTATTATAGATGGGTTGCAGTATATTAAATTACACCCTTTTCTATACGTGGGAGGAAATGTTCGATTTATAATTTTTAATTGTGAAATACATATTCGGTCGAAGAAAAAAAACCCGAAGCAAATGATGTCAAATCATGCTTAAACCTTTAGAAATCATGAGATAATGTTCGCTATGTTAACTATAATAAATGGTTGAATTATTTTCCCCAAAATATTTATATGTAAAATATTTAAATTATCCGTGTATAATACACTATTTTCAATTATTGCATGTAATTTAGAAACATCTGAACGGAGCGGTTCTAATTTAAATGTAAGTGGAGCATCTTACATTTTGATTTATTAAAAAGTCCTTTGTTGTTTAACAACAGAAAAAGTTGTTCATATGGACTACCAACTGCCTGCGATTATGTAAGTCGGGACTTTATTTCCTTCAAACTTTCGTGTAAGCTCTTATAGTAAATTCACGAGGAGATCAGTACATCTCAAAATAGAACGGGTTATCCCGGAATTTTTTGAACATGACAATCATCATGACAATTCAGAGGCGGTTCTGTAACTTGAATCTTATGGGAATTCAACCAGAAACACTTCGTGTACAAAGACTGGTCTGGAAAACTCTAAACCGGCAATTTGTACGTTTAAGTGAGTAGTCGGGGCAGATGCCAAACGTGATTCATGGGCAATTCGTCAAACTGAAAAGCGAAGAACTTAACTGCAGAGTACAGTTTCCATATATATTAAAAATGATAAACGTAAAACAATATATTAACTATGTTAAAATTATGTATCCACTTTCATATGTTCAAAGGTTATAATAAGCAATGAAATTACCGCAACGGACATTAAACCAGGCGATTTTAATGGCGTGAGGGGAGACTTTAATGGTTACGTTTAGACAAGCAAAACGCGCATGGCTTGTCAAACTAAGACTATGCCTTTGAGGCTGTTTTTCCTTCTTTCCAAATATCCAATTAGGCTTCAAATTACTTACAAAACAGGCATCGACTTTTGATTTTTAAATGGCTTTTCTCCTTTTATAGCTTTCGAGACATTTGTCTGCGCGCCCACTTCAAGTCGTTTTGGTCAAAGTCGGTTCGCAATACTACAGTTCTCTACCTCTATCTTTTTAATTGAGAAGAGAAATCGGATTTAGATCTTAAATGTTCAAAAGCGGCGTTGCAATTGGGTCTCCGCGGAGGCGGATGGGCAGCAGCGGGGAAAGAAGAAGACAAAGCACATTAACCAACGCCTTGTTATACCTCTGGCCTATACTAGAAAGAGTTTTCTATAATAAATAAAAGGGGTTCACTGAGTCAGCTCCAAATCCCTTCTGAGTTACCTGGTGTCTAATTACAAACAAGGCTGTGGTTTTATGCATGATTACAATACGTTTTGAGTTAGCTAGAGAACGAATTTAAAATTTATTGTTGAGTTTGTCCTTTATTTGAATAACAGCACAGAGTTTGAATGGCACTTAAATATTGTAACTGAACTTTACTGTGTGACGCTTCCGTATTGTTAACGTTGAGATAAGGTAGCACGTTATTTTGTTATTCAAATTTATTGCATATCCACAATACATACTTAAACATATAATCGTTTGTGGATTTAGGCCTATATGATTTCTCAAATTATTTTATATTTACTTATAATACGCTTGGCACCATCATCCAATACAACGTTTAAATAGATAACCATTTCTAGTTTGGTCATTATTTGGGAGACTTTTAAATTCTTTTATTTCTGTAATAGCAATAGCTGAAGTCAGGTTATACAGCATTACTGGGCCTTCCGGTGCCTCACTTCTTAAAGTTTTAGCAATAGGAATGTACGGCATGGGAAAGTAGTGTTAATCCTGGCCTCAAAGAGAAACTAATCCCAATATTTCACTAGCGGGGTTTCTTTAGGGCAAAGGGAAGCCGCTGTCCAATTCAAACACCACGGCATGCCGATAACAGACTCGGGGGGCCCACAGGTTCCGCCAGAACTGCTGAAGGTTATAATACAGAAAAACATCATAAACAAAAATGCTTTTAACTTACAGAAAAAAAACTATCTGGCTAAAATAAGTCAATATGCATAACGTTCAAAAATCCATAGGCGAAACAACGATGATAGGTGTTGCAAAAGCTAGCACAAAGTGGTATACTGACGGGGAAATATTGACTGGAATATTTCTAATTTCTTCCTGAAATTTAGAAATTTGCACGTATATGGTTAAAAGGAAGGGAAATATATGACAAAACAAGGTGTCTCTTCTTTTTCATAAGCGCAAAAAGCATATGTAAGTCCAGTCAAATCATAAATATCTAATTGAAGGTCGTCTTCTTGGAAGTAAAATATCCCAAAAGACGTGTTATTGTCGAAACTTTGAAGCTGCTTTTATTCTTTTTGAATCCAATCCGATTTGTGAGAGGAGGAAAACCTACCCTGTTTGTGAGAACAATGGGCGCCCCGGAGCCTTTTTCGGCATAAAGGGGAACTTTAACAGAACTAAAATCGGATAAGGCAAAGAAAGGGAAAAGAAGGAGAAAGGTTTACGGTCGGCTCCTCGGATTATTTCAAAAGGTTTGACTCCGAGTACGAAGCGTAGATGTGAGTTTTCTGAATGAAGCAATGTCAGTGGCAATCGAATCTTTAATTGCTTTCCGTGCCTCTCCCGTAATTGTTAGAAGTCGGACTTTCAATTAGCATCCTTGACATTGCCAATAATCTGTCTTTCACTCGGGTCTTTAGTAAAGGAAACACACTAATTAAAACACTTGCTTGAAATAATCAAAACATTTAAAGAACTTAGCTAATTAGAATCTTTTTTTTATACAGACAGAATGGAGACAGAAGTGTGTTTATGTTGGGGAGGGGTAACAGTTATATAGCGAATTTTTTTTCAGTTACAAGGACAATGCCTTTTTAAGCTTTAAGTATTCTCACTGTTGCATTTTACTTAAACGTCTTTAACTTCACTACCTGAATTACGGTCATCGTTCAGCGGAAATCAGCTGGCCAGTGGTAGAAGTCAGAAATGTTTAACGTTCATACTAGGTACGTATTACCAAGGTATACATTTAGACCTACGATTCACTTCAAGAAACGTAATACGTTCCGAAACGTTACTACACCGACTCGACGTATTGGAGTTTTATGAGGTATTACAAGCCAGAGGATGAGTATTTTCCAAACTGCAGTAACAATCATGGCATGTTAAGAGTTATACCCAATTAGTAACAATAACACCAACTACAAATAACAACGCAATTCAATAAAAGCACGACACGGCTCTGCTTTATCAATGGTGAACGTGATACCCAGAAAGCGGCACACTTACAGAAGTAGTCGCTACTTGTGGCGTTAAAAACAAAATAAGAGTTGTCCCTTGCTTTACAAACACAAGGCGGATTAGAAAAGCAGGGGACAAGGTCGGTTTGTAACAGACAAGCGTATCGATTTTGGTTTAGCTGAACTGAGTAACTACGCTACAGCGATAACATTAAGAATTCTCCCAATGGAAAAAAGCAAGTGTTTTTTTTATTATTTTGTGTGCCTTTAACTACAAAAACCCACACAATCTTTAACAGTACACACCGAAAAGAGCCTACTAATAGTGTGCCCTATATATACTGTTTTGCATTTATTGCAATAATTTCCACACGGATTTTGTATTAGTAACTGTCGCATATTACAAAATAAAATTTATCTTATTGAATATAATCCTGCAAAAACATAGCAAGTAATATAAATCATATTTCACATTTTTATCAAACTTGAACGCGCACTGAATTATGTTGTCAACTTTTTTATCAACGATAATTGGTGTTTTTCTCACCATGGACGGCGAAAACATGGGCGAAAATTATTTTAAATTCTTTATTTTGAATTCTCACTGTCGTTTGCAAAAAAGCAAAGAAACTTGTGTTTTTGTTTGCATCCAAAGTAACTTCAGAAATGTAACGGTTGCTCGCGTTCAGCGCAGCATCTGAAGACGGACGGCACCATCTCTGCATTGGCAGCACTGCCATTCAAAGAAAGATAAGGAGACGGTCATGGGATGAGGAGAATCGCTTCTTTTTAAATAAAGTAAAAAATTTTCTTTCTTTTTTTTTTTTTTACTTTCCCCCCGTATTATGCAGCAGTAGTCTCGAAAATGCGTTGCTTAGATAACTTCAGGCATCTGCAAAGTTGTGCAAGCGTTGAGAAAGTGTCTGATGAACGCCTTTGGCCGGCGTTGTGACACATACTTTAACACCATTTTTAATAAAGGGAAAGGCGACAGAAATGACCGAAAAGATACGTGCGGCAGAATATATTACAGTGAAAAAACTATAACGCGTCTGTAGCCTATAGCTGAACGACTTGGGTTTTTTCTAGTCTATATAATTCCGCAAAATCATTAACACTGAGCCTCGTAAATAACAATAGGTTGAATGAACATCGATTTTAATTGTAAATAGCTCGTTAACGCGTTGATCGTAAACGTATATTCCTTAATTGCTATTCTAAAACGGTAGCAAATCTGTTTAACAGTTGATTGGCGGCACTGCTGTGCCGCGTCATCATATACACTTTCATTAAAGGAATAGTTATGCAATTTGAAAATGCGTTACGCATATAATGAGAAGGAACGGTAAATATATTTAGGGCAATAAAACTGCATAAGTAAGAGAAGTCTAAATGCTGCGTCTACGCTTAGTACAAGCCTAGACATTTCACTTAAATGCAGCATGATCAACAACAATCTCTTGAACGCATTGCGCTTAAATAAAATATGGACTCTCCAACGATGGTCACAGCTACAGAGTATAAGCTGGTATCACTGACAACTCAACTCAGTTTAACTGGCAGTAGGTTGGATTTGGCGAGCATTTCTTTCTACCCTTGGTCACTATTATGCCATTTCACTAACTGTATGCTTAT